TAGGTCTAGAGTTATCAGGTCCTGTCAAAAGAGAGGAAGTGGAAAGGCTAGTGAGGGAATTGATGGAAGGAGAGAAGGGGAAACAAATGAAGGCAAGAATCACGGAGTGGAAGAGGCTAGCGCACGAGGCGACAGATCCAAATGGGTCATCGTCCATAAACTTCGACAAGGTGCTGAATGAGATTCTATTCTAATCATAAACCTCACATGTCAGTTTGTGCAACACTGCTGCCATAGGGAATTCTTCCTTTGCAACATCATTATATCTTTGTTAATGCGTAACAGCGATGAAATCAAAATATTCAGCTACGCAATGGTGTTTTAATAAGATATATGCAGCAGACTACCTAATTTATCTAATGTAAATTGTTAAGAGCCGTCTTTTCTACACCCCCTCTTCTACTCTTCCTTCGTCATAACTTCAGAGGTATCTAGCAGCATGCTTTTCTCCATGAAAATTCATCTTCGTCGACAGTCATTTGTGTTCATGGTGAAAACCAAAAGGGTCGCCTGTGGCACCTCTAGTCCCACGCGACTATTATTTCATCTGAAGAGTAGCATGTCGAAGATGCATACTTAGCACTTGACACCATCCCACTCACCAAAAGGAAAATCGAGAATGACGCACTCAAGTCAGGGATCAACCTATAGGTAATTTTTATTTTCCTAATTCATGAAAATTTTGTTCTCAGCTGGAAGTTAGATCCCACCATATATCAGCACACACATGGCGAACCTTTAATGATTGAAAGACATCTAATTACCATCAACCAGATCCAGTGAACTTTATACTTTTTCAATAAACAATCGACTTGGCATTAGAAACGCAGTGGCATTCAGCAATTGTATCCACCGTCTACAAAGCTCCCGCTTTCCATTTTCCCCTCATGGATCAATGAAAAGAATGCCGGCTGTTACCAATTTTCTTTTTCCCACATGTTACCAATTAGATAGGAAGAAAAACTTGTAAGACGAGCAGGGATATCATATAGATGAAATGAGAAGGCTTTGGAAAGGCAAAAGTGAGAACACAAAAATAATCTAGGAAAGGAAACGGCTAGATTGAAGATGAAACAGAGGGATCCAACAAAGACCTTTAACCACAATGTAGTAAGGGAAAATAACACAATCCCTGAACTTTAGCTCAATATGCATTGTGGTCCCTGAACTTTCAATTTGTTCAATGTAATCGTTGAACTTTTAATTTGTTCAATGTCGTCCCTGAACTTTTAGTACATATTCAATTTAGTCTCTGAACTATATGAAAATGTTCAATATAGTCCTTCCATTAATTTAAATTCAATGACTATATTGAACATTTTCATATAATACTATATTGAATATTTTTCATATAGTTTAGGGACTACATTGAACATATACCAAAACTCCAAGGACCACATTAAACATTAAGCTAAAGTTCAAGAACTACATTGAACAAATTAAAAATTCAAGGACCACATTGCACATTGGGCCAAAGTTCAGGGACCATTTGTTTCATTATCCCTAGTAGTAAAAACTAGAGAAGTACCTTAAGAAAAATAACTCATTTTGTGTCATTGAAATTCCAAGCAGCAAAGGAACTCTTGCTGCTCTAAAAGACTACACATAAAATCTTAGTTTATATTGCGCTAAATTTCAGGTTTTCTTCTTTTCGTTTAGTAGCTCATTATAGGAAAATAATTTAGTTACGATGTTGTTCTTGCTAAGTTACATAGTTACATTTCTTTGATACCTTAGTTTATTTTAGATAACTTGCGTAGAGTTTCCTTTTATAACTCACTGGAATGTGTCCTGAGGCTTTATAATAAAGCCATATAATAATATTATCTGTCCAACTTGTATCCGGTTATATTTTCCGCACCTTTATCACTTTATCGTTGTTCTCATTGTTTATTTGCGGTGATGTTATATTATTCATATTTAAAGTCCGTTTTATGTGTCGACATTGTAGGGTCTCCTAGACGCACGTACGAGGATTTTAAAATGGAAAGATGGCATGAAATATTTTCTAATAAAAAGAGAAAAGGTACCAATTTTCAGCACGAATAAATTTCTACCGTAATCAAGTTTCCTGACTTGAATCTCTTATTCGAAAATGTAAAACGGCCTCCCAAGTTTTACTTGACCTCTAATCGGCTTCTAATAGGTTTATAGGAGGCTCCTTAAAGTAAAACATAAAAAAAGTATAATATGTTTTCATAATATACCGAGAAACCAAGTTGCATCGGTAGGGTTTGGAGAACCCAATTTAACTATTGGTGCTACCTTGCAAGACGAATTGCCCGCACTTGTTTGGCGATCCGGTAAACCATCAGGGGTAAAATCTAATATATATTCTCATTAGGAAGATCGTGATAATGACACCCTAAAATTTCATTACAACCTGATTACACCGCCCAATAACCTTTAAAATCAACCCGGCAACCTAAAAACCGACCTTATTTGAAATTACAACTAAGCGAATTTCTTCAATTAAATGAATTAAGAGTTCAAATTCTTATCAAGCAATTCGAAATCGAATCAATCCGGCTCTTCAAGACATTGAAGTATGCGCGAATTGAAACCCCTTCCTCTCTCTCTCGATGTCTTTCTTTTCTACTTCTTTCTGTTTCGTTGTTTTCCCGATCTCGGCTAAATCAATCTTTTTAACCCTCTCTCTCTCGGCCACTCTCTCAAATTGAAGAGCCAATTCTCTCTCTATTTGCCAAAAGAAACATTATCAGGCGACTATGGTACGTATCCTATTCCGGGCACATCCATTCACTAAGCTATCTTAATTTGTCTTTTCCTTTAGTAGCTCTTTTACATATTTTATAGTCTTTATTCCACTACAAGTCAGATTGTTACATGCACTATCAAAAAAATAATGAATGAATGAATTGTCCCGCGAGCTCCGGACGCTCATCTCCAGCTCGATCTCCAACAGTATTTATTTTTTATAGGGGGGCTCCAATAGTTCTGTAATATTTGTGTTTCAAGGTCAAAAGGTCAAAGGTTGAAAAAAAGAAAAAGAAAAAAGAAGGAGTTGAAAAGTCAAAAAGCAGAACAGTGGAAGCTTTAGCTGATTTAAGCCGAGAGGGTGCACGGCCGAGAAAAAGAAAAGGAAAAAAAAGAAAGAGAGGAAAAGAGAAGGAAGATGAGGAAGGGTTTCGCACGTTCTCGTCACGATTCGTCATGGGAGCCCCGCTAAATCAGAATTACTCCATGTCGCAACGCTCGGTAAGTGTTCGCACCCCTCATTCGTGCAATCGGAGAAGTTTTCCGGTTTAGGGCTCAAATTTCGGAGTTACATGAGATTCAAGCCATTAAGTCCGATTTTTTAGTTGTCGAGCTGCGTATATATATAAAAATGATAGTTTGGGGTGTTGTGGGGCTACAGAATTTTACAGATCTCGATTTGGACATACGGTTCGCCCGAAACAGAATTTTGAAGTTAAGCATGCGTGGTGAACGGTGCGCGACCAGTGGTTTTTAGGCCGATTTTCATTGGTTTTCGGCTCGGTTTTAGGTCGGCCAAGTTGTAAGCCTTCTAGTGCTTCGGAAGATCTTCATTTTGACTATAAGATCGCTTAGAACGGGATTTGGGTGAGAGATTTATGGCACAACCAAGTCTCGAGTTTAAGCTTCGCGTTGCGAACGGCTTTGAATAATCGCTCTGGACGAGGGATTTGTGAGCGCGTTTGAGTCGTTTTGGTTAGCGTTTAAGCTTGATTTAGTCGAGTCATTTGTTAAAATAGTATTTTACTTGGTTTTGACGTCGATTCTCGTTTAATTGATAGGATTATGAGATCGTCGGCGAGTTTAGTCATATTGTATGATTTTGGGGCATTCTCAAGTGAGTGATGCTGATATCTTCTTTGGTTTTGTAAAACCCATGTACTGAGGTACGTATATATATATATGGAAGCAAGAAGAACACATTTACTGCATAAAGCTGGATCAAATGTTTACTACTTTTGGATTATGGTGGGATGGTTCGATAAACCTTTCTTGAAAGGTTATGCTTACTATTTTGCGCATTAGATTTATGAGATAACTCTTGAGGGCTTATACGTTTTGGTTTGTGAAACCATTTGTGATATGAATTGGTAAAAATGGCTAAGTGCTACACGATAACGTAATTTCGTGGGAGTCACCTTTAGGGCCTTGTAGTCAAGGACTAAGTGCTACATTGTGACTCAAGTCGTATGAGAGGCACATCTAGGGCCTTGCACTATTGATATGCACATTAAAGGACTAGGTGCTACACGATAACGTAAATTCGTGGAAACCACCTCTAGAGCCTTGTAATATAATATACGTTGGTCAAGGAGTAAGTGTTACACAATAACGTAAATTCGTGGGAGCTACCTCTATAGCCTTGAGTTGAATATCGAGCATAGAATGGACCATTAACATGTGTTTGACGAATTTGTGTTGAATTGGACCAGTAATGTTGGTTTTGCTATTATGGCTGAATTGGTATTTATGCTATGAATATAGTTACATGGAAGTATTATATAACTCATTTTATTCTTGTAAATTTGTTATATTCTGAATTGGTATAAGTGAGTTATGTCCTTGAGTTTTAAACGTATATTGTGAAGGCTCGATATTCTTAGAAGAGATGTACTACTTACTGAGTTGTGCTTGCTCACCCATCTCTTTCCTCAACCTTTTCAGGTTCCTCGGTTAGTGGCTTTAGAGCGAGAGCGCTATCGATGGGGACTTTTGGGAATTGGCTCTTGACTTTTGGTTTGAGGTTGCGTCCTTCGGGCGGAAGGATGGCCGTATTATCCCCTATCTCGATAGGTTTCGGGGTGTGATAAATTCAGCAACAATATTTATTTTTGTCAACTTGTTGCTTGCTCTCCACGTCCTTGATTTTCTTCAGCCACCGTTACTGACCTCTACAGCCGGGAGTTCTTAACTTGCTAATCAAGTACACTAGCTGCCCACGTGGGACTTTCTCTTAGATTGGATCGCCGATTTCAACATATATATATATATAAAGTGACATGTTGCGAAACCTAGGCATTCACTGCATCTTCCCCTTCATCTGAAAAATAAAGCTCAACATCCATTTCAGCTTTCAATCCTCTGAGTTCTGCTTTGAGTTCGACCAGAGAGAGAGAGAGAGAGAGAGATGGACACCCAATCAGCCACGGCTAAGAGAAGCCATGCCGTTTGTCTCCCAGCTCCATACCAAAGCCACATAGGAGCAATGCTAAAACTGGCAAAGCTTCTATATTCAAAAGGTTTCTACGTGTCCTTCGTGAACACAGAGTACAACCATCGACGCTTACTCACGTCAAGAGGCACTCGAGCCCTCGATGGCTTCCCTGGCTTTCGGTTCCTAACCATTCCTGACGGCCTTCCCCCCTCGGATGGAGACACGAGCCAAGACGGCAATGCTATGTGTGATGCTGTCAGATATAACATGTCTGCTCCATTTTCTGATCTCATCTCCAATCTCAACAACACCGCATCAAGCTCAGATGTTCCTCCAGTCACTTGCATTTTCACCGATGGACACATGTCATTTGCCACCAATGACGCTGCTCAAGAATTCGGCATCCCTAATATACACTTTTGGCCAATTCCCGCCTGCGCCTTCATGGGACTGAAACATTACCAGACGCTGAGGGAAAAGGGTCTGGCGCCATTAAAAGGTAAACCTACAAGGCAAAACGTTTTATTTTAGCCCCGTGTGTAGACAGTGATTAAGCAGCGGTCGTGTGTGGATTATGCGCATGGCCTTTGTATGACCACCCACAACATCGCATGCAAACAATTCCGTGCCTACTCGCCTGATGTTTGGCTTACATCTTACCTGGTCCTAGGTTACTGGAATGTTTCTTGACCCCATGGTCTTCCAACCTAAAACTATACTTCCTCGTAAAAAAAGAAAAAAAAAAGAGGTTTTATTTTACTAATATTATATCCACGTAAGACTGAGAATATCACGTGTGAATGCAGATACCAGTTACTTATCAAATGGCTATTTAGATACAGTAATTGACTGGATTCCAGGAATGAAGGGAATTAAATTGTGGGACCTGCCCACTTTTCTTCGAACCACAGATCCTGACGATGTTTTGTTCAACTTTTCGATTGATCTTGCTGAGGAAGCAAATAAAGCTTCGGCAATGATCTTCCATACCTTTGATGCCCTTGAATCGGACGTGCTTAATGCATTGTCATCCATGTATCCTCGCGTGTTTGCAATCGGTCCGCTTTCGTTGCATATAAATAAGCTAGTGAAGGAAGAGAGTCCCCCGCAATCATTTGACTGCAATCTGTGGAGAGAAGATACCGAATGTCTCCGATGGCTCAGCACGAAGGAACCGAACTCAGTTCTATACGTTAATTTCGGCAGCATAGCCGTGTTGACAAGAGAAGAGCTTATTGAGTTTGCAATGGGACTGGCCAACAGCAAACATCCATTCTTGTGGATAATTAGGCCCGACCTTGTAAGAGGGGATTCAGCAGTTCTTCCCCTGGAATTCATCGAAGAAACAAAAGGAAGGAGAATGTTTGCCAGCTGGTGTTCACAGGAGGCTGTTCTCAACCACTTGTCGATCGGAGGGTTCTTAACGCACTGCGGGTGGAACTCTATGATTGAGAGTGTGTGTGCAGGAGTCCCAATGATTTGTTGGCCATCTTTTGGGGATCAGAGGACAAACTGCACTTACGCTTGTAGTAAATGGGAGATTGGTTTGGAGTTGTCGGGTGTGGTCAAAAGAGAGGAAGTGGAAAGGCTAGTGAAGGAACTGTTCGACGGAGACAAGGGCAAACAAATGAAGGAAAGAATCGCAGAGTGGAAGAAACTAGCAGAGGAGGCAACAGATCCAAATGGGTCATCGTCTATAAACTTTGACAACCTATTGAATGAGCTTCTAACTTAACTACAGAACCAGACGTCTGTTTGTGCAACACTGCTACCACAGGCAATTCTTCGTTCACAACAACATTCTACTTCTATAGGTTTTAACTATGATGAAATCATGTATTCGTATCACGTGTGTTTCAAGAGGTTTACAGACTTCCTAATTCTTCTATTTTATGAACTTGTTCCCTACAAGAAAGAGCTGTCTTTCCTACACCCATCTTCTACTCTCATTCGTAGTCATAACTTCAAAGATATCTATCGGCATGCTTTTCTCCTGATGAAAATTCATCTTCACGATAGTCATGTATTTGTTGTATATTTCATGGTGAAAGTCAAAAAGGGTGTCCATGAGACCTGGAGAAATCTGAAGGCTCATGCTTATGAGCATTTTCCTAGCGATTCTCCCCTTGGCAAAGAAGACTCGGAAAAAGACACTCCCCTTTCTTTGACACCTTCGACCCTGCATGCACTCTGGAAGAGGATCGACCATCTTGGTCAATATATGACTGACCATCCTAGGATTTCATGTGAATGAAAAGGCCCAAAAATGACATAAAGAAAATCTGCACTTTGCATCTTTTGGCCGAAGCGGTCGATCGATTGAGAATATGCAACAATTAAGTTGAAACTGTGGCCAAAGATAATGGGGAAATGAGCATCTCGCTGCTTCATCAAAATCAGTTTTAAACACCAACAGGCAAGGCCTGGTGGGGATGACATCATTTTGGCTTTTGATTGAGACATCAACAGAACTAAACATGAACGGGAGACTTTTCTCTATCGGTCACAAACACACCGTAGCCTCAATTAATGAGAATTCTAAGATCATGCTGAACCATTCCAGAATTTTCTGGCTTTTCACGTTGGATTCACTTTACATTATTCAATTTTGGCTACTAAGTACTTAAACTAAACCCAAAACAGGGGTGACGCCCAAAATCAGCAGTTATGCATGTACAGTACCAAAATAGCATTGGATATAGTCCACTTATCCAAAAACGTTCCCTTCCTCTGTTTATTTATGTCACACAGGGCTCAAAAGAATTACAGCATATAGAAATAGCATTTTAAAGATGCACCGTCAAAAAGAACCAAAAAAAATTCTGGCGATTTTAGGACACTTGCACCAGGATCTTGACAAGATTTCTGTGGATGTACTACTCCCATCCTAGATCTCCGACCTATTTCAACAGAGTACATGGTTCCCCATTGACATCAACTCTTTTAGAAAGCTGCTTTCAGCTAGTCCAAAGCCACAAGTATTATGCATCACCAGACAACTGTTACAAGACAAAAGTGGCCTCTCAAGGAACGTCGGATAATAAAATTTGGACAACATATGGACCTTATCTCAGGTGTATACGAACTTCAGAATGGCGATTGCTCTTTTCAACATATTGCACAGGTTCATTTGTTTCCAACAGCCGGCATTGCATTATGACTGTAATTACGACAGAAAAATTTATCTGCCATTCTTTGAAAAGGAATCATCCGTCCATCTTACGTAGTTTTACAAAGTCTAATTCAACACTCACGCTTGTCATATATAATGGAAGTTTTCTTCTTGATCCTTCAAACAGTAGCATGCTGATAAACTAATCACAATCATAAGAAATATTTATTAGTGTGTAGAGCAAGCAAACTCCATGCAGAGACGCATAGAAACTTACAAGAAGAAAGATACCATAAACCTTTGGTTCTGCCTGATTTGCACTATATCTTCCCCCTCATCGGAAAGTAGGACTGACATCAGCTTTTCTTTCCTGGATGATGCTTTGAACTAAAGCCACCACAGAGAGCGAGAGACATGGCCACCCAATCAGCCACAGCCAAGAGAAATAGAACCCATCCTGTTTGTGTCCCGGCTCCATACCAAAGCCACATAGGAGCAATGCTAAAGCTAGCGAAGCTTCTATATACGGAAGGTTTCTACATATCCCTCGTGAACACAGAGTACAATCATCGACGCTCACTCAAGTCGAGAGATGCCAGAGCCCTCGATGGCTTCCCTGACTTTCAGTTCCTAACCATCCCAGATGGCCTTCCTTTCCCCGATGCAGACTCGAGCCAAGACGGCCTTGCTCTAACTGATGCTCTCAGAAAAACCATGTCTGCTCCATTTTTTGACCTCATCTCCAATCTGAACGACTCTGCATCAACCCACGATGTTCCTCCAGTCACTTGCATTCTGTGATGCGTTCATGTCATTTGCCACCAATGAAGCTGCTCAATAATTCAGCGTCTCCATAATACACTTGTGGACAATCCCAGCCCGCTCCCTCATGGGATTCAAACAATACAGTACGCTGAGGGAAAAGGGTCTGGCGCCTTTAAAAGGTAAAAAGTACAAGGCCACTAATTTTGTTTTTAACCCCACAAGTAAGCTCGGGGTTTTAGGAGCGGACTTGTGAGTGGATTATGTGCAGAGCACATATTCGACTCCCCACACCACCATGTACAAACCAGTTCGATGTTGTTTGGCTCACCCACCCGAATTTTGGCTTGCATCTTACCTGGTCCTAAGTTAGCAGGGTATTTCTTTAAGTCCAAAATTTACCCAGTCCTCATCATAAAGATATAATTTCTTTTCATATTTTGTATCCATGTAAAAATGAGAATGTCATGTGTGAATGCAGATACCAGTTACTATCAAATGGGTACTTGGATACAGTAATTGACTAGAATTCAGGAATGAAGAACATCAAATTGTAGGACCAGCCCACTTTCCTTCGAACCACGGATCTTGATGTATTTTGTTCAACTTTACATGGATGCTATTGAGCAAGCAAGTACAGCTTCAGCAACGATCTTCCATACCTTTGATGCCCTTGAATCGGACGTGCTTAATGAATTGTCATCCATGTATCCTCGTGTACTTGCGATTGGTCCGCTTTCGTTACTTCTAAATAAGCTAGTGAAGGAAGAGAGTCCCACGAAATCATTTGACTGCAATCTATGGAGAGAAGATAGCGAATGTCTCCGATGGCTTGGCACGAAGGAACCTAACTCGGTTCTATTTGTTAATTTCGGCAGACTAGCTGTCTTGACAAGAGAAGAGCTTACTGAGTTTGCGATGGGACTGGCCAACAGTAAACTTCCATTCTTGTGGATAATTAGGCCTGACCTTGTAAACGGGGGATTCAGCAGTTCTGCCCCGGAAATTCATCGAAGAAATAAAAGGAAGGAGTATGCTTGCCAGCTGGTGTCCACAGGAGGCGGTTCTAAACCACTTGTCAATCGGAGGGTTCTTAACGCACTAAGGATGGAACTCTATCATAGAGACCGTTGTCTGCTGGAGGCCCGATGATTTGCTGGCCATCTTTTGGGGACCAGAGGACAAGCTGCACCTATGCTCGGAGGAGATGGGAGATAGGTCTGGAGTTATCAGGTGATGTCAAGAGAGAGGAAGTGGAAAGGCTAGTGAGGGAATTGACGGAAGGAGAGAAAGGGAAACAGATGAAGGCAAGAATCACTGAGTGAAGAGACTAGCGCACGTGGCAACAGATCCAAATGGATCATCGTCCATAAACTTTGACAAGGTGCCGAATGAGATTCTAATCTAATCATGAAACTCACATGTCAATTTGTGCAACACTGCTGCCGTAGGCAATTCTTCCATTGCAACATCATTATATCCTTGTTAACAGGTATCAGGGATGAAATCAAAATATTCAGGTCATGTGATGCTGTTTTAATAAGATGCATGCAGCAGACCCATTACAACTTGTTAAGAGCCATCTTTCCTACACCCCTCTTCTGCTCTTCATACTTAGTCATAACTTCAAGATCTAGCAGCATGCTTTTCTCCACGAAAATTCATCTTCGTCGATAGTCATCGTATTGATGTATCATTCATGGTGAAAACCCAAAGGGCCAGTGACACCTCTAGTCCCATGCGACTATTACCAAAAGGAAAATCGAGAATGACGCACTCAAGTCAGGGATCAACCTATAGGTAATTTTTGCTTTCCCAATCCATGAAAATTTTGTTCTCAGCTGGAAGTTAGATCCCACCATATATCAGCACACACAAGGCCGCCCTTTAATGATTGAAAAGCATCTAATTACCATCAACCAGATCCAGTGAACTTCATACTTTTTCAATAAACAATAGACTTAGCATTCAAAATGCAGAGGCATTCAGCAACTGTGACCACCATATACAAAGCCCCCGCTTTCTCTTTCCCCCTCATGAATCTCTGAAAAGAATACCGGCTGTCCAAGGCCAAGTCAGGAATTGTTACAAGTTCTATTTTTTACCAATTAGATAGGAAGAAAAACATGTAAGATAGGAGCAGGTATATCATATAGATTAAATGAGAAGGCTTTGAGAAAGGCAAAAGTGAGAACACATAAATAAAGCCTGGACGTAGGACTCTGTACCCGGCTACTTTCATCAATCCAGGAAAATATGACCAAATCAAGGAAAGCAAACGGCTAGATCGAAGATGAAACAGAGGGATCCGACAAAGACCTTTAACCTCAATCTAGCAAACACTACAGAAGTACCTTAAGAAAAATAACTCATTTCATGTCAATGAGGTTCCAAGCAGCAAAAGAACTCTTGCCGCTCTAATAAATCACATTTTAACGGGACCAAAAATTCCAGCCAAAAAGTAACAACTGGTTTGGGAGAATCTCCCTTTTAACTCAAAATTATTTCATAAAAAAATTTGCCGGAGTAAATTATTAGAACTCGAGATTTTCATCACCGTCTAAATCCAAAAGGCACAACGCACTTGCTTAGGCGCCTCCGGATCCAAACTTCTTGCCGAATACGATCAGCTGCAACTTATCATAACCTGCCAGCACACCAGCACCGGCAACAGCACGGAGGATGTTTGCACCAGCACCCTTGAAGAGAGACTTGGCACCCTCATTCTTCAGAATTTGAGAGAAAGCATCCAGGGAACTCTTGTACTTGACAGCTTCGCCAGAGGTCATCATCATTCTTCTGCGAACAGTGTCGATTGGATAGGATGCAAGCCCAGCACCATTTGTGATGAGCCATCCAAGGCCAAAGCTAGCGAAGAAACTATCCTGAAATGATTGAACAACAGATGTAATAAGGGGGAAATAACAGCAAAGCTCCTGTGATAAATTAATCTCACTTTCATATCCTGATAGCAAAGCTCAGAAAAGAAATTATTATCATCCCCTACTTTATTCCTCAAAAAATACTCTCCCATTCATTATGGCAACCTAGGAGCTAAGTTCACCATATCAGCAGAGGCATGAATTCAGAAAAACGCATGACTCCCAGAGAAATCCTTAC